TGCTGCTACCGTCTCAGATTTGCTTCAGGGAGTGACAAGTGGTTGCCAAGAAGAAGCTGCTGCTGCTGGAGGTGGAGGTCACTGCTGCTGAATCTCAAAGTGAAGAGACTTTAAAGCGAAAAAGCAGATGGTGAAATTGCTTAGCAATGGTTGCCAAACGAGATCGAAGTGGAATGCTGGTTACACTGTGTCGATGCTGGTTGTGGCTGTGGCGTCTGTGCTGGTTGCCAGCATTGATTTGGCTGGCAATGATAAGCAATTCTGGTTTTCTTTTGCGGCAGCACACACACACACCTAAGTACACATACCCAATTAAGGAAGGTAAAGGACAGAAAATGTAGTCAGGAGAATAGAAGAACAGGCGCCAAGTGCAGCGTAATTGTGGGCAGGATGTGGCCTACTACCAGCACTACACAGGAACGGGCACACAGGTGTCAGTGACGCCACGAAACGAGGAGACGATGCAGGTCGAGTGGCGGTGGTGGTAATGGTGCTGGCCAATCGCTGCCAAACCTGAGCAGTGTCGATCGGTGATGCCGATTGAGGATCACAACAAAGCCTGAGCAGCCGACGACGACGACTGCTGTCAGTCAGTCAACTGGCCAGTCACTGCAACAGACTGCCACAATAGACACAGGCACACAGAGCAGTTGGAATGCAACAAGCCCAGCAGTGGACGAGAAGAAGTGATCTGGCGAGCCAATGACCGAGCCAGTGAATGTGTCTTGGGCGCTACCCTCTTCCTCCAATACCGAATGATCCCGGTGGCGATTCCGGACCAGTGGCAGTGTGCCTTCGCCAAGGCCACTCCCATTGCGGAGAGTAAACACGGGTGATCATTCGCAGATGCTTACCATCTGTGTGCTCTGCTCAACTAGAAAACACTCGAACGCAAATTGCTGAACTTTGCTCAGACATTGTTCAACAAATTAAAATCAAATATGTTTAATGATGAAAATGATAGATAAATGTAGAAAATTACAGATCTTAGATGAGCCACTCTATAGGCGGAGGGAAACGAAAACTGTTTGCTTCACTCCTCCGTGTTCTAAATCAAAGGACAGTTGTGGTTTGTTCTCACTTGAATGTCCATTGGGACAAACGCCTTCCGCTGCATTTTTATTGACAGTAATATCAAGCGCAACGTCACCATTTGATTCACTAGAGCACGTGATGTTTGCAGCCGATTGTTTGTTCCGTTGTTCTATTTCAAGGTAATCTCTCAACACTTGCTTTTCCACAATGTCATGCTCTCTTTCCCAGGAATCATAAATTGGGTCGTAATCTTTCCAGCGTACCAGATATTCGGTAACACCATTGCTAAATCGTTGGGCAAGGATACGCTCAACGTTGTATTCTTCTTCATTAACATCTGGGATATTGTTTCCTGTAAAAATAAAAAGTGGAAATGTTAGATAAAGTAGCAATTTATGTTTGATACTGACCAGAAGATGCCATTGCGAAAAAGGTGCTTTGAAAGTTCACAAAGTTCTAAAGTTAAACTTTTTGATGCGATTAGAATGGCCACAGCTCAGGAAGTTTTTGTCTCAAAACAATAAGACTAGTGAGCAGAGTGGAAGGTACAGCCAAGAGTTTCTTTTTGCAACCAAGCGCGCCGAATGTGGTCCACCTTTTTCAGTTTTACAGAGAGCAGCAGCTGTAAAGCACTGCAAAAGTAAAACTTGCTCCTCGCGCTTGGCCCGAAAAAAGTGTTAATTGCAGTTTGTAGTTTTTTATTGCTGGCAAAAGTACCCCTCATCTGTGAACGGCTCTTTGCCGTTTATTTTGAAAACAATAATTTATTTTCCCTCTTTTTAGCCTTTTTTGATTGATTTGAAAATCATTTCATTTCCATCACGATGAATTTTGATATTCCCACGGTAAAGTGCTGCATTTCGATTGAGAGTTTTGCTACGAATGGATCAGTTGCCAACAGGCGATCCTTGACAGATGCTCAGCTGAAACTATGCCGAAATCAAGAGGGCAGTTGTGTGCTTTCGTTGGAAAACAAAAACGGCAAAGAAGTGAAGCGATTTACATTTGCTAAAAATGAAGAAAATTATCGACTCAACACCAAGTTTGTTCACGAAGGAAAGGCATCTCTTTCACTGCCAGATTTGAATCTTCGGCTGTTCTTCTCCAACTGCCCTCCAGACAAGCTATCTCTTTTCTTGAAGGGATTCTCTCTCAAATGCAACTACCACTCTAAAAAAAATCCCAGCCAAAATGAAAACGCGTTTGGCATGTTCACTAGACAGGTGTGCGATGTGCGAATGTCCCAAGCAGAAGCCATTGAAGAGATTAGCCCGCTCACATCAAAAGATCTCATTCGCAATCTGGCACTTCGGAACCAGAATGCCAGTCCTCTCAGTAAAACCACTTTTACATCACCAGTGTCGTCAAAAAAGGAGTTTCAGAAAAGAAAACTTGAACAAGGTAATGCGATTCAGTTATTGCAAAACTCTAAATTTAAACTTCTGTGTTTTCAGTTTTAGAGGCAATATCAGAAAGCAGTCCCAATACTAGGAGGAAGCTCATTCGGGCTGTCATTCCCTCGCCGGTTCGGTCGCTAAAAGTGCTAAACTCCAACAACTTGACCGATGAGCAGTACAGCGTCCTCCGGTCAGTTATGCATGGGGAGAGTCTCTTCTTTACCGGAAGCGCTGGAACTGGCAAAAGCTACCTTCTCAAGTTCATCATTAGCCGCCTGCCTCCGGAAACGACCTTTGTCACGGCAAGCACAGGAATCGCAGCCAGTCACCTGCCCGGAGGCATCACACTGCACATGTTTGCCGGCATTCCCGTGAGTTGGCTCGAAGAGGGATGTTTCGGACAGGAGAACCGAAAGCTGACTCCAAAAGAGATTGCAGCCCGATTAATGAAGTTCGAGGCTAAAGTTCAAAGGTGGAAGCAGTGTAAATGTCTTATCATCGATGAGATTTCCATGCTGCACGGGGAATACTTTGCGGTAGTAGATCAAGTTGCTCGCATCATTCGCAACTGCGACAAACCGTTTGGCGGCATTCAATTGGTGGTGTGCGGTGACTTTCTACAACTTCCTCCTATCACCAAAAGAGGTAACGGGGTTACATTTGCTAACGTTGTTGCACAGTTTAGAAAGATATTTAATATGTTTCATTTACCTTTTAGATGGCAAACCCGAGTCTTTAAAAACCAAGTACGCTTTTCAGACGAAAGCATGGACAGAAGCGATTAGGCAGTACTTTGAATTACGAATTATCAAAAGACAGACTGATGGCACCTTCATCAAAGTCCTGCAGCTGCTGCGACTAGGCCGAGTGACGGAGTCAGTAAAGTCCATCCTCATCAAAACATCCCAGAATAACCTTCGAAAGAACAGTATCATCCCCACCCAGCTGTACACTCATAGACGAGACGTCGACCTGGTCAACAGGCAACAGCTTCAAAAGCTGCAATCACCTTCAGTGTGCTTCATTGCGCAGGATAGCGACCCGGCGCACTCCGCAATGCTCGACTCACTCTGTCCGACGCAGAGGAAAATTGAGCTAAAGGTGGGCGCTCAGATAATGCTCAATCGGAACATCGACTTGAATCGCGGACTGGTTAATGGCCTTGTCGGGGAGATTATCAAGTTTGAAGACGAAGGTGATGCGGCTCACGCTGTGCCTAGGAGGTATCCGGTGATTCGTTTTGTCAACGGCGTGCAGACGACCATTTCACCGGAGAGGTGGACGGTGAAACTCGGCGGGGCGGCCGACTCGAAAGCAATAAGCCGCGTGCACTTGCCGCTTCAGCTTGCCTGGGCAATGTCTGTGCACAAGTCGCAAGGGATGACCATTTCGAATGGTCTCGAGATCTCACTGGCAAAGGTGTTCGAATCAGGGCAGGCCTATGTAGCACTGTCGAGGGCAACATCACTTGCAAATGTGAAAATAATCGACTTCAATCCGAAGAACATCATGGTCGACAGTGAGGCACTTGATTTCTACAAGCAGCTCAAGTACGTCTCATAGATGAGGCATTTATTTGTAATATTGGCTACATTTAGTAAAGACATTTTCTCCCTTTTTTGATTAACTATTGTAATATTTGTGCTGATGCTTGTGGTAGTTTTTCATTTTCTTATCAAACTCCACAATGCGATTGCCATCTCGATGTTCTACCTCGTGGCAAGGCAGAGAAGCGCCCATCAGACCAGATGACCACTTTAAGTACTCGCGCAAGTATTTTCCTGTAAATATCGGGGGCGCATCAGCCTTTTCTAAATCTTCATTTGGTATCTTGTATGATGAACTGATGCTCATCTCACCGACCACCAAATCAACCTTAAGGGAGCCAATGTCTTCTTCAGTGGGAATGCCATTGGGAAATTTTAGAGGCTTTAACCGGATCAGATGCTTCACTTCCCAAAGCATTGAGTTGTAGTGAGGGGTGTTGGGAATTACCACGGGGATGTTCTTTTCGCGATGATGAAGGCCAAGCCGCCGTAAAATGAGTTTCTCGTTCCTGTAGTGCAAAGAGGTAAGTTTAATAGTTTAACAGCAACTCTGTGAACACGCTTACCAAACGTTTCCAAAGAATGACTTGTAACGCCACACAAGATGGAACGGAGATACATCTTTGTCGGTGACCTGTTTTTCGCGGATCACTTTGATCTCTTCCATTTCTCGTTCAAGCGTTTTCTGGTTGATTCCGAAGGGAAACCGGCTCATCATGGTTTCCTTCTTCTTGTACTCAAATGGACCTTTGTACACCGGAATATAAATGTATGTCCGGATCTGCTGCCGGAACTGGTTGATTAAACTCATCTTGGAAACGATTCGGTTGGATATTCAATTTTTCAAATCAGATCACAAAAACATTTAAAAGTTGTTTTCATTTTTGGCACATGTTTGCACTATTGCAACACTGGTTTGTCTGATTGAGTGTGAATAGTCATAATAGAATTTTGAACAATTTTTTATTTGAAAGTCGCATAAAACACCAAGTTTTTCGACTCATCATTTCATTGACTCAAAATGATCCATCCCGAGAACTTGTTTAATTTTATTGTTAAAGTACAAAACCTCCTTTTTCGCGAGTTCTCCAACGTCATAGTGTCGCCGTTCTCTTTAGAAGCGCTTTTTCTCGGAATTCTCTCTGGCGCTGAAGGCGCCTGCAACAAGGAGCTCGCCAACTGCCTTTTCGGCCAAGATGTTGACTCCAATGACATTTCTGAAATGATGAACGCTTTTAAAGCCCTCATTAATCAAATTGGCGCTATTCAGAATGCTGACTTTAAAATGAACAACTTTATCTACATTTCCGACAAGTTTCAAGTTCGTCCAACATACTGCTCCTACGTTTCAAAGTACCTGAACATTTTGATTAAACAACTTAACTTTGAAGACGAATCTCTTGAAGCGTACGCTCGTATTGACGCCGACGTTCGGTAAGACGGGGGCTTCGTTGTATAGCACGGTAGTTTTATCATTTTTCATTTATACACCAGAACTGCCTCTTTGGGGCGAATCAACAAGATTCTCAAGTGTCTGCCAACGGTGTCACGCTTAATGCTGGTCAGCCAAGTTAGCTTTCAGAGCGAGTTGAAGTACAAACCGTTGAAGCAATACGATGGCCACTTTAAGGCCACCAATCAGGATGATGCTAGCACTCAATTCACTGTGCTGCGCAACAGCTTCAAGCTGAATGAAAAGAATCCTGATTTTGTGTACATCGAGTTGCCCTATGTGAATGAAGGAATGAATTTGTGCATCGTTTTGCCCGCTGAAGGAAAATCTTTGCGAGAGTTGGCTAGCAGCCTAAAGTACGACAAGGCAATGCAGCTGAGTGCTTCAAGTGTTTTCAGCCAAGTTGAAGTTCACCTTCCAATTCTAAAGGTTTGAAACGTTTGTTTTTGTAAACAAATAAATAATTGTTTTTTCAGGTTCAATCAAATGTTGACTTGGCAATGGTTTTGCAGCTGTGTGGCATTTCAAAGGTTTTTGAAAGTGAAAACTCGGATTTTTCTAAAATGGTCAACGACTCAAAAGGACTGTTTCTCGAATCAGTTGTCACCAATTCTGAGTTGATCTTGCAAGACACTCCCAAAGTTGGCACACAGACAGAAGACTTAGCTCCTTCTGAGCCCCTCTCTACGGTGATCATCATCAACCGTCCCTTTATGTACTCTGTGACTTACAGCGCCAAAAGCCTGCAAACCATCACTCTCTTCACCGGGGTGGTCAACATTATCGAATAGACGCACACTGTACAGCAGTAAGTTGGCATTATAAAAAATTTATTTCAAAATCGGAAAATGAAAGTGTCCGTCAAGCCTAAGCAGTCATGAAGAGAGAGAAGAGCAGATACCAATCAGTCTTGATTGACCAGATAGCGAACGGCCAGCGCTCCGATGGGCGCTCCAGTGGGCACACCGGGGAACGGCCCCGAAGAGCCGGCAATGTCGATGTGCGAGAAGGCAATCGGCTTCTCGGAGTTGATGCCGTGCTGGTCGAGCTTGGACACCTGAATGAGAAAGGCCGCCGGAATCTGATGGCCGCGAGGGGTTCGCGAGGAGGGGGCATTGTTGCACTGCAGAATGTCCTCGTACTCGGACTTGCCCTCATTGAACTTGAAGTCCTCTCGGCGAATGGTGGAGATCTCAAAGAGGTCGCCCACACTGTCGCCTGCCTCGGTGATGCGCTGAGCAGTGGACAGGGCCCGGGCCTGTCCGTTGTCCAGAATAATCGAATAATTGAAGCCGACGGCCATGCAGCAGTGTCCCGTCAGCGTGGCAATGGTGAACATCTCCGGATTGGCGATGTTCTCAGTGACCACCTTCTCCTTGTAGTACGAGAGAATGTCCACCATGGCCATTCGACCTGAAGTAAAGAAGAGCCAGTGTCAGTAACTTAATACTCTTCATCCCAAAAGTACCTTCTGCATCGGTGTTTCCCACTCGAAGACGCACTCCAGCACGAGAGACGATAAGCTCGTCGGCCACGTATCCATTTGGACCTAAAGAACAACAAGATGTTTAGTTTTCACTCCAAAACACACAAATCAGCAAACCTTACCAATACTGTTTCGCACCATAGCCATGGCGCCAAAGACGCGCAAATTTTTCGGGCGGTTCTTGTCGAGCGTCTCAAAGAAGCCGGCCACCGCAGCGGCGCCGCACTTGTCTCGGTGCATGCCCGCCATTATTCCGCCGCTCTTAATGTCCGCTCCGCCCGTGTCGTAGGTGACGCCCTTGCCAATGAGGAACAGGTTCTTTTTTGGCGCCTCCGGCGGCTCATAGGTGAGAAAGATGACACGAGCCGCGTGGCGTGCTTCGCTGGCTCGATTCACAGCAGCTGCCAAAAGTTTTTTTTGGTGGTGAAAACAGGTAAGCAGAGTTGTTAGATTGCCGCCATGATTAATCACCAAAACCGACACCACCTACCTAGGCAGGGAAACTCCTTCTCAATGACCTTCAAGTCGCTGATCACCTGCACCTNTACCTAATCACTAAAACCGACACCACCTACCTAAGCAGGGAAACTCCTTCTCAATGACCTTCAAGTCGCTGATCACCTGCACCTTGATGGAGGTGTCCTTGAAGAGCTCCTCCACGTACTCCACCACCTTGGGCGCACTCATCCGCTCCGGGTCGGAGCCGCCAATGTCTCGGGCCACGGCTCGCCCACACTCGATGGCGTTGGCCAGTTTGAGCACCTCCGCCTCTCGGGCGGCGCTGGCAAAGTTGGTAAAACCCAGCGAGTCCACCTTCTTCACGCTCTTATACTCGCGATTCTCCAGTGGAATGTAGAGAATTTGGTAGACCGCCAGGACGATGGCCAGGTCAAAGTGGGCGGCGTACTTGGCGGGAATGTCACTGGCACTGGGCAGCACCACCAGCGGATTGCGTGAGCCGGCCTTCAGAGCGCGGGAGATGCCTCGCACTGCTGCGTCGCAGAAGTTTCTGATGTCGTCAAAGTCGCGGTTGACCGGGCCGATCGGTGAGTAGACCAGTCGCTTGAAGGGCGACTCGGGCAGCAGCATCAGTCCGCCGTCCTTGTTGAACTTGACATCGTACTTCTTCTGACCTTCAATCGGTTTGGCGTACTTTTCGTAGCTGCCGGTGAAGGTGCTCTTGTCAGTAAAGGACACCAGGACGAGAGCATCGCAGTTGGACTCTGTCAGCGTAGTCACCGGATTGATGCCAAATCTGAAGGGGAGAAATTGAACTTTGTAAACTGTCGTAGATTCTCAGTAGAGCTCTTACCTTTGTGGCATTGTGTGTTTAATCAGGTGATTCGGATGCAAATGAAGTCAATCTGCAAAAGACGAAAAAAATGTTACACTGGTGCGTTGTCAAGAGAAACAGCAGTAGTTGATGCGAATAACGCCTANGGTGAAGGTGCTCTTGTCAGTAAAGGACACCAGGACGAGAGCATCGCAGTTGGACTCTGTCAGCGTAGTCACCGGATTGATGCCAAATCTGAAGGGGAGAAATTGAACTTTGTAAACTGTCGTAGATTCTCAGTAGAGCTCTTACCTTTGTGGCATTGTGTGTTTAATCAGGTGATTCGGATGCAAATGAAGTCAATCTGCAAAAGACGAAAAAAATGTTACACTGGTGCGTTGTCAAGAGAAACAGCAGTAGTTGATGCGAATAACGCCTATCACAATAGCTTAGATCAATGTTCACTGTATAGTTTCAAACTTCAGTGACAGTTGTTGGTTAGTGGAAGAGTTGGACGTGACCATAACAAAAAGATTTTTCTACACCAACAAGTTGATTTAAATTAGCATTTGCAAAAAACTAGTTAAAAATCTACTGCTAGTACCAAGTTGTGTGTTTGTCGTGCAAAAAAGTGCGCTTTACGATGAGAGTTTCCACAGTAGTGACCACAGAGTAAATTATCGTGAACTGTATATTGAAGTGATCACACACTGTGCCAGTTCAGTTGCAGTGCTCTGCTATCGGAAGAAAGAAGCAAAGTGAAGCAAAGCGACTGTGAGGTTGTAGTGACCGTTTCTTCTTCTTCTACTTCTTGCAATAGTAGGCAAATAGAAATCGTATCGAAGGAGATTGCCTCAGAGCAGAGCAGAGTCAGTGGCTAGGGACAGAGTGCCACCAGAGTGACAACTTCGACTTTTATGGTTCGAAAAGCGCCTGAGAGAGCCACAAAGGAGAGAAAAAGAAAGAGATAAAGCTCACTGGGGTGATAGTGGTGACTGTCGCCATCAGCCATCAGTGCCCGGTGCTGCACTTGAGACATCGGCACTGTGGTGTGCTCTCTTTATCACCACTAAGACTGCG